ACAGAGAATGTTAACAACGAGGTGCCTTTGAATAGAAGAGTGAAGGAAAGAAAAAGAAATGACATTGAGTAACGACTAAGTCGGAATAAAGTAAAAAAAAAAAATGAAGAAAAGGATGGAAGAAAACTTCAAGGAAAATAGAAAAATAAAGTTAAAAAAAAAAGAAAGAAAAAACAAATGAGGAAAGTACAAGGTAAAATGGTGATGATTTAATAAAGACAGAGAAAGAATCGTATCGGGAAAAGAAACGGTAAGAAAATATTAGAAAAGTTGAGAGAAGGGAAGAAAAAAAATGAGGGAAAAAAGAAATGTTATTAATACGGAAAAAAAATATAAGCTGGAATGAAAGTGTGAGAAAGAGTTTGTCACTTATTTAACATCGAGTTTAAATACTGCAGTATGTAAAATGGTGTAAGAAGTCATTATATTGGAAAAGGTACTTCTAAGAAGATTGTATTTTTATCATGCTCTTTGAGGAATGCCAAATACTTGAAGGCATAACTTGAATATATCCCTAGGTGATGCAACGATTTTTTTTTCGTTTTATTCAGGTTAAGTACCGCGCCCCCCACTCGTCAGTTATCGACATCCCTTTTCCCGCTAGAATCTTTCTGACATCTAAGAAATCACTCATTTGTCGGAACTGGTTGAAAAGTTCGCACATTGTACCTTTTTAACACGAGATATTTTTTGTTTTATTAGCTGTGTAGTTCATTTATTAACAAGACACTCTCCTCTGTCATTTGTTAGTATTAAAATTTATAAAATACTGCTTTCTTCTTCCTGTGGTGATCAGTTTTGATTACGCTGGTAGACCATAAAAGAATATTTAAAAATAAGAACAGTGACACTTGATCGCTTAAAACAAATGCTTCAGTTGGGGGAGAAACGGTTTAACACCTTTTTCTAGATAAGCCCAACCCACAATACGAATTTGAGGACTCGAGTTCTGTTGACTTCTTTTCATCCAACGTGTGGGGACTACAGTACAGACTTACAGCTCAAATTTAATTCCAACAGAAATCTAAACTGAAGAAATTCACATCACCCTTAAGACGATATATTTCGCACAATAATGTGGACGTAAAAAATAATTTACGGGAAAACAAGCGTACCCTAACGACAGCGTAAAATGAAACCGTACCCTAACAATAGCTTAAAAATGAAAATACTGAAAAAGTGCATATCCTTGTGCAATGTCCTGACGATGACTTCAAACCCATTTATAACCGTCCTGGATATAACGATAAACTACATCCGAGTCCTGGGTAAGACGATAAACTACGTCCGACAGCAAGGCCTCTGATCAGGAGGTTTTGAGGAGCGTGGAACCACCTCTTAATTGCTGGTGTTCCCAGGTCCACCCTATTAGGGTCCCTGCTACAGGCAAATAGTTAACCACTAAACTGGGGTTAAAAATCTATCAAAGTGTAAAAATAGGTATTAATATCAGAAATATTTTTTTGTAAAAAATTATTACCAGAAATACATTATTTACCAACAATACTTTTTTGAAAAAAAAAAAAAATTACCAGCAATAAAAACAACTGTCGGCATTAAATAAGCCGTAAAACAAAACGAACAAACCCATTTATAAAAATTCAAGTTTTAGTAATTTATTTATCAATATAGCTCCTTATCCTTGAAAAATAATTTACCGTTGTGAGTCTGATTTTTTTTTGGCAACATTTTGCTTATTTAACTCTCCTTTTATGAGTTATAATCATGCATAAAATACATTATATTTATGGTTTTAATTTAGCGATCACTTCTCCCTTTTCAATCAATAAACCTGTACTTTTCAGAACTGCAAATCCACGTGGGAAAAGTATTAAGACACGTTAGATATTCTATACGACAAAAGTAAGTTGTTGATCTCTCTAAATAACGTAATATCATTGGAAAAGCGGCTTATTAATTTTTAGAAAAATCTAATAATTAACTGTCGTAATAAAAAAAAAAAAAAAAATTTATAAACCCCTGTGTAAAAATTAGCAAATCTTGGTTTTCAGAATAATGGCATTCTGAAGACGATTTTAAAGAAACCTAGAAATAAATTAGCCAATTTCGTTGTTTATTAATCAAATATAAACTTAAATTCTGTTTTAGAGTTAATTTAATGATACATTTATAAACTTCCTTGAAGTATCTGCAGTATTCCATTTCGGCCTTCCTGAGAAGAATTTCGATCTGGGTAATATACAGGGAATTCTGAATTAAACCTGTAATGATCATCATCACACACATAAATACATACTATACAACAACAAGCATTCATTGGATAATAAATCAACACTACTGTGTAATGGACAATTTATAAATCGCAGCTATGCGACAATTTTATAATTGCTATATTTTCATGTAGTCGATTTCGTGCACTTTTGGGAGAATCGGATCCCAGAGGCTTTTCCAGTGCGTGACTCAGTCAAGTTTCCCGCCAAGGTGCTGTGATCCTGACACGTGATTACATTATTTATAAATAGCAAACACGAGTTTTCCTCTTTCTCTCTTCTTCCTTCGAAGATGTGACCTTTAAGAATTATCATCTCGACCATGCGGTCAGATGTTAAATAATATTTCACGCATTCACGTACGTACGAACTCTCACGAACCTTTCCAACCTTCTCACTCACACCACCACTCACATGCTGAACATTCCTTATACACTCACATAATCTTTTCTTACACAGCAAATCTGCTGAGAACAATTATTACAAGAAACTCTCACAAACTTTTTTCCATTGAACTTTGAAATACAAATAATAGTTAAAGAGAGACAACTCTTGTTTTACTCAATGTATGCCTTTCTTTCACATCCTTGTTTGTATATCTTGTTAAATACAAATTTTATTATCCTTTTTTCTTCACGTCAGTTTTGGTTTTCCTAATAATTAATGTGGTGAAGTCCGCCACAAACCCATTATTGAATCTACGGGGATAGACTGTTCTCGTTCCACTCTTCATATCTAGGGTCTATTTTATTTCGTACTGTCCAGTTATTGCTCGCTGTGTACACACTGCCCGACCCAGGTATTGAACTCACAACCACCAAATTCACAAACCAACACTTTTACTCATAAGGCCATTATCCCTTAAGAAAAGTAAGCTTAGAGCAATAAATTTAACCTAGCTGCTGATTAGGTTGCAACTGCTTCTTGAAGTAAACGATATGTATATATCGAAGTTTTTTTTTTTGTTTGTGTGTGTAGGGGGCAATCCTTTTGGCTAACAAAAACTAGTAAACACATTCTTTCCAAATTAAGATAAATAGTTAAACCGGTTCCTTCATTTTACACGTTGCAGTATAAACTCTAAAACATTTGTAACATATTGAAGGGCTTTATTCGTTTTACTGTTAATGTTTTAAGTTGATTGCTGACGAGCTTTTGTAAATTTGAACATTCTAGGGTTTATCGTATTTTCTGGCTTACAAGATGCTGCGGCTTGGAAGACGCACCTAAATGCTGGGAAGAAATTTCTTAAGAAAAAAAAAAAAAATCATTCTCATACAACGACACATTCACCATGCGTCCCTCGTAGTCCTGGAAATACTTGCATCAGCTAAGTACTGAGGTTACATCATATAATAGGCTAACATCATAGTGTAATGACTCAACAAACAAATCCATGTCTCTATCAGTCAAACCAATTAGGTGACCGTCCAAGCTTACTTGGGCTTTGCTTTACATTCGTCTTGGAAGGCGCACACATATTTTTCAGGGTATTTTTAATAATAGAAAAAAGTGCGTCTTGTAAGCCGAAAAATACGGTAATTCTTTGGAGAAATTGATTTAAAGCAGTCAATTATAGCCCTGCTGAACAGTGTCTTTGGTGCTTAGAATTCTTAAAAAATGGCTTCTAATTATGTAATATTTTTTCTTTGACTTTTATGCATTTTATATTTCAACAAATCTGAATAAGATGAGTTAATAATAAAACTATTCATTTGAAACACCAGTCTAATCAATCGGATATGATTTTATCGATATGTGCTTCGTAGTTAAGATACTGACGTCAAAGGAAAGAATTGGGGCTATTCTCATTGGTTTCCAGTCTACCTTGGCTTATGGCCATATCACGTTGAAACACCGCTTCCCGTACGATCACAGAAGTTAAGCAACGTTGAGCCGTCAGTACCGGGGAAGATTGTTCTAGCTCCACGTGCCATGCCTCTTCCGGGTGTCTTCGTTATTTCCCTTTAACTCAAATCGCCAAGTTTTGGTTCACCACTGCTGTGGCCAGATATTGAACTCAGAACTCTTTGGGTCTAGTCACTGGATTTAACAAACATCTTTATCCACTGGGCCATGTGTCTTTGAGTTCAATATCAGGCCACAGTAGTGGTGAATCAAAATCTTGGAGAGTTGACTTAAAGGGAAATAACTGAGATATCCGGAAGTGGCATGGCATGTGAAACTAGAACAATCTACCCTGGTGGACGAAATAAAGGGTTCGGTTCGAAGTTCCAATGACCTGAAGAAGGCCGGAGTGTACAACGGCCGAAACGTTATGAATATGGCAATGAAAATGAGGTAACAGTCCGAATAATGTAAATAAGTAATCATAATACCTCATCTCAGGGATATAGACAGATACAAACTTCGTAATTGCTTAACAATTTATGTTCCAATCTCTAAAATATTAATTCTCCCATATTTGGCGTGAGATTAAAGAGTAAATTACTGAGGTAGTTTGATTGCAAGTAGAACAATTACGTTATTGAATTTTGTCATTGTAAAGAAAGTTGCAAGTCAGTTGATTTATCCGAAAGAAAACTTATCTTATTCGTACTTAAGTGGTGGTAGATTTACACAATATTCAAAATAGTCCACAAAGAAGGAAAAAAAAAAAAAGAAGATAATTTAAAACTTTTAGGAACGGTACACACGAGTAATCACTAATTTTTCTTTCTTCTTTTTTCCCCATCTTCTTTCCCTTTGTCTACTCTTTTTCCATCGTTGAAAAAAAAAAAAAAAACTTACATTAACCTAGATACGTTCATGTCGCCATTGTGTCAGGATGACCTCAGCGTCCTCCCTATAGCCAGACAACTGACGACGTACTCGCCTGAGTCTCCCTACTGTCTCTCCCCGCACAATAGATCCTTTCATCATCACCAATACCATCATTGCCGTCATCTCCTCCTTCAATTTCACGGCCCTCCTGATTTTCTACTTACCTACTTTTCCGACATTTTCTAAAGTAGGTTGATTTTTTTCCTTTTTTTCTTTTCTTTTTGTTTCTGTTTCCATCTTTTCTGGTTGTTGTTCATATCCCCGCCATCACCTCAACGTTATACTTTTGAGTTCTCTTTTTTTTTTCCTTTGCTGGTTTTATAACATTTGTTTTTTCTTTTTTTTCCTTGTTTTTACGCTTCCGTCTTACTTTTTTCTTTTTATCCCCTTATTGATATTCTTTCTTTCTTTCTTTTTTCATAAATACTTATTTTCACTTTTTCCTTTTTTTTTCTTAATCCTCCTTTTCCATGACATTCATTATTTTTTTCTTTCACGTTTACCTGTTAACTTTTTTATTTCTTATTATTTCCTTGGTAGTAACTTTTCTTTCTTTTTTTTCCCATATTTACTTGTTTTCTATTTATCGTTCACATTACTGAATTTTCTTTTATTTTCCTGTTTTCGTTTTCTTTCAAATTTGATTTGCTTTCTTTTATTTTTCTTCTTCTCAAATTTACCTTTATTTATTTTATTGTTTTCTTTCTTTTTTCACATTTACTGGTTTTCTTTTCACATTTACCTGCTACTTTTTTATCTACATGTTTTTTTCGAATTTTCATTCTTTTTCCCTTCGTGTCTTTCGAATTTTCATTCTTTTTCCCTTCGTGTCTTTCGAATTTTCATTCTTTTTCCTTCGTGTCTTTCGAATTTTCATTCTTTTTTCCCTTCGTGTCTTTCGAATTTTCATTCTTTTTCCCTTCGTGTCTTTCGAATTTTCATTCTTTTTCCCTTCGTGTCTTTCGAATTTTCATTCTTTTTCCCTTCGTGTCTTTCGAATTTTCATTCTTTTTCGTGTCTTTCGAATTTTCATTCTTTTTCCCTTCGTGTCTTTCGAATTTTCATTCTTTTTCCCTTCGTGTCTTTCGAATTTTCATTCTTTTTCCCTTCGTGTCTTTCGAATTTTCATTCTTTTTCCCTTCGTGTCTTTCGAATTTTCATTCTTTTTTTCGTGTCTTTCGAATTTTCATTCTTTTTTCCCTTCGTGTCTTTCGAATTTTCATTCTTTTCCCTTCGTGTCTTTCGAATTTTTTCCCTTCGTGTCTTTCGAATTTTCATTCTTTTTCCCTTCGTGTCTTTCGAATTTTCATTCTTTTTCCCTTCGTGTCTTTCGAATTTTCATTCTTTTTCCCTTCGTGTCTTTTCGAATTTTTTTTTTTTTTTCCTTCGTGTCTTTCAATTTTCATTCTTTTTTCCCTTCGTGTCTTTCGAATTTTCATTCTTTTTCCCTTCGTGTCTTTCGAATTTTCATTCTTTTTCCCTTCGTGTCTTTCAATTTTCATTCTTTTTTCCCTTCGTGTCTTTCGAATTTTCATTCTTTTTCCCTTCGTGTCTTTCGAATTTTCATTCTTTTTCCCTTCGTGTCTTTCGAATTTTCATTCTTTTTCCCTTCGTGTCTTTCGAATTTGCGCGTGTTTCTTTTGTAATTGTCTTAATTTCATTCTTTCAAATTTCACTGACTTCGTTCTTTTATATCAATCATGTCTCTCTCTCTCTCCCTCTCTCTGTCACTCTCACTTAGCCGCCTGTCTCTCTCTCTCTCTCTCACACTTAGCCCTCTCTCTTCCCTTCCCTCTTCCCCTCTCTTCCTTCCCCTTTTCTCTTCCTCCCCTTTCTCTCTTCCCTCCCCTTTCTCTCTTCCTCCCCCTTTCTCTCTTCCTCCCCCTTTCTCTCTTCCCTCCCCTTTCTCTCTTCCCTCCCCTTTTTCTCTTCTCTTCCTTCCCTCCCCCTCTCTTCCCTTCCCTCCCCTCTCTTCCCTTCCTCCCCTCTCTTCCTTCCTCCCCTCTCTTTCTCTCTTTCCCAGTAAATTCACATAGCAACTCATTACAATCAGATTAATATTTGTAAAATTCTTGACTTTACATTTTTTACACGTAAATTAGAAATCATAAATTATAACTTGGTAAAATAGTTTAGTAATCTTATGACAGTGATTTAATGTTAGGAATATGCTCTTGCCATTATTAGTAATATCAGGGTTTGTTATTTTGAGCCATCCATACTTCATCGTTCCATAGAACGTTCGTAAATTTAAGCCGGTTTTCATTACATCGTAAGAAAAGCTGACAATACTCTTGAATTTTCAACAGATATAACTGGAAGCAGGTACCCACTCTAAACATATGTATTTTTTCATTATATTTAAGTAAAAATATTTTTCAGAATCATTAAACTTTTTATTAGTTTAAATATGTCTTTCGATCGACATCAATAATGGCGTAATTGAAGTTAATTTGGAATTACAATAATTGATATTAAAAGCCATTTGGAACCTGCTTTAAGAAGGCAAAATAATTTTTTACTTTTTTTTATAACTTTTTTTTTATTAATTATTTCTTGCAATTGAACTTTAAAGATTTTAAAATTATTTCAATTGTTGTAATGCTGTCTTTGTTAGCCGAGAATTATGAAGGCCGTACTTAGAGTATCAACGGAACAGAAGAGATTTAGTAAATACTTATACATAGAACGGATTAACTTGATTAAATTAACTACTCCTCAAATCCTACTCAAATGTGGCTACTTGTCATATTTATAAGTAGGAGCAGTCCATTGTCACAGTAGTAGGGGAGAGAAAGAAGTACAACAGAAACTTTTTTTTTTTTGTAGAATATATTGTAATCCTTATTACAAGTTGATACTTGATTCCTGACTGGATGAGTAACGTATTTTATTCGGTAATTCTGGAGTTACATACAAGAAATATGAAAACTGTATGTGGTTAACATTCTTAGATTTGAGCAAGGAAACATATGCATAAAAAGCTACAAATATTCACTTATATAATAATAAAAAATCAAGTAATCGATAACAGGAAAGGTCCAAAAAATAACCAACCAATACTAAGCCTGCCAAGGAAGAAAATATGAAAAAAGAAGAAAAAATGACAGGAAAAAAAACGTATAATGTGTCTAGTTTCTAGAAAACATACGAAGGCACATGTGTTATAATACCAAACACAAAAAGGCGTTCAGGAACTCCGATCTGAAATCATCACTCAAAATTTTAAGCTAAAGCATTCTTTAGACTATGAAAATCAATGTTCACACAATTTAAAAACTATTACATCTGCTACTACTATTAAAAAAATTAGGATTGTATGGGGAAATATATAAGAAAAGATGTTGCTATATGACTAGATTTAATTTAATTAATAACTAACAAGCGACAATTCTGACCTTGTGCAAAGACTTAGCTATAGCTGTTTCTTTCCACGTGTGTATATGTGAAGTCTCATTAGAAAAAGTTGTCGATTTAGGCGTCGTCTCCCTCAAACGTGTTGCCAAGGATATGGATGCGAATTCAAAATTTTGTCAGAAACTACTTTCGCTGCAGATTGCTTAACAGTTGGAAAATGTTAAATGATCTGAGAGATGCGATTAAAGGCGGGAAAATGATAAAAAAATAATATAAAAATTAATAATGAAAATGCTTCATCAATGGCGATCAAACAACTTGAAGACTATTCCATCTATTGCATTGTATGGAGAAATGTATAATATGTAGCTATATGATTAGATTTCATATCAGTAAAGGCGTTGTCCATGTTTGACTGGCTCCTAAGGATATGCGATATGAATTAAAATATCATCAAAGGCTTACATTTTTATTAATGAAAAGTCGTAGAATGTCAAGCGTTAAGATAAAAAGAAAAGAAAGAAGCAACGCTAAGATGAAAGATAAACTCGTCAACTTCGTTGTTTCACTGATGAGTTTACGTGTTCAAAATTAACGACGACTCATTGGACTCTGGCCAGATTTTCACAAAAGAGTCGTAAAATAAAAGTGATAAATGAGCATGACTGAAAAGTTCAAGGGCAATTGATTAAAATATGTTGAACGTTCAAATCTTCTCATGTCGATGATGCGATTCATTGGTTTCATTTCAAGAAGAAAATTTCCCGACATCAGAAAAATCGAATTCGATAGTTATGTTCAAGGTTTACACGGGAATATATTTTAACAAAACAATATTGTTTTTATTATTTAACTTTTCGAAAAATAGTTCATTCGATTAATTCCTTTTCGGCATCTCTCATCTGAGATGATAGGAAGGATGTCCTTATGATGTCGTGTATCGCCTTTGTTGATTTCATTGGCTTTCATAATTCCAAAAGAAACAGTCTTCACCATGACGTTCAGTGTAGAATAGTACCGTCAGAAAATGTTTGTACTAAGTAAAAAATATTCGTTATCTAAGAAAAGGGGCTTACGGTCACATCACATTGAAACACCGGTTCATTAATGATCACCGAAGTTAAGCAACATAGAACCTTGTCAGTACCTAGATGGGTGACCGCTTGGGAAATATCAGATGATGTAAGCTTGGATGTGTGAGTGGTGAAATGGATAATGTCTCGGAATCGTTAATCAGAAAGCTGAGTTCCTATTTTCATTGGATTCGTTATATCCACTTAAGTGCAAATGCCACTGAGAAAGGTATGAATCTCCCAGCTATGGGTTAATTAGTAAGACTTGGAACACTAAACCATTATTATCTCAAAATAAATTCTTACAATCTAAAATATACATTTTGGTTGTAAATAACCCGTGAAAGGTTGATAACAATCAAAGAACAAGTCTTTTTCAATAGTTCTAATCAAATAGATATTATTAATTTTATAAGTACACTGGGAGGGGAGAAAAGGAAATTTAATTTATTTTCTTCTCTTTTACCTTTTTCTTAACTTCTTTTCCCTTATTTTTCTCTTTTATCTTCTCCAATTTAGCGTCTATAAAAATCATTTTTACCTTTTTCTTTTTTTCTTCCTTTTTCCCCTTTTTACTTTTCCCTCTTTTCCCCCTTTTCACTTTCCCTCTTTTCCCCCTTTTTACTTTTCCCTCTTTTCCCCCTTTTTACTTTTCCTCTTTTTCCCCTTTTCCTTTTACCCCTTTTCCCTTTTTCCCCCTTTTCCCTCCCTCTTTTTTTCCTCTTTTTTTTTCCTCTTTTTTTTCCTCTTTTTTTTCCTCTTTTTTTTTCCTCTTTTTTTTTCCTCTTTTTTTTTCCTTTTTTTTTCCCTTTTTCCCCCTTTTTCTTCATTTCTCTTACACCTTTGTTTTCTCCTATACTTTTTTCTTTCGTACTATATCACTTCTTAAACCAAAACTTAAAATGATTTGTCAAGTGTTCAAATTATCGAAGTTTTACATGCAGATTGTTTGAAAAGGCTGTTGGTCGGTGATTAGCAGTGATAAAAAGATACATAATTTTTTTATACACAATATTTAATAAAACATTTTTTCAATGGATCTGCAGCTAGTGCAACTAAAATTGGCGTGGAAATTGACAGCTAGTCTGTTGCAATTCACTTTCACAAAAATTCCTTCAGGAAAGGCATAAATTCGTATCTTCTCTCAGCTACAATTAAAATAACAGGGTAGACTGACCACTCTAGCTTTGGGTACCAACCATTCGAAGAGAAGGAAAACTCTGAATTCCAAATTGTAGACAATGTGGGGAAATCATCCCAAAACATTCCCCAAGAATGCATAACTGTTCACACATAACATATTAAAAGAATCTGTGGAAGATCATCATCATTGACATCCTGGAGAAGAAAAAAAAACACAAATTGAGTATGCCACTTCCGAGAACTGATTATTTTCTAGTTTCACTGAATCGAGTTTACGACAACTGATTATTTTCTAGTTTCACTGAATCGAGTTTACGACAACTGATTATTTTCTAGTTTCACTGAATCGAGTTTACGACAACTGATTATTTTCTAGTTTCACTGAATCGAGTTTACGACAACTGATTATTTTCTAGTTTCACTGAATCGAGTTTACGACAACTGATTATTTTCTAGTTTCACTGAATCGAGTTTACGACAACTGATTATTTTCTAGTTTCACTGAATCGAGTTTACGACAACTGATTATTTTCTAGTTTCACTGAATCGAGTTTACGACAACTGATTATTTTCTAGTTTCACTGAATCGAGTTTACGACAACTGATTATTTTCTAGTTTCACTGAATCGAGTTTACGACAACTGATTATTTTCTAGTTTCACTGAATCGAGTTTACGACAACTGATTATTTTCTAGTTTCACTGAATCGAGTTTACGACAACTGATTATTTTCTAGTTTCACTGAATCGAGTTTACGACAACTGATTATTTTCTAGTTTCACTGAATCGAGTTTACGACAACTGATTATTTTCTAGTTTCACTGAATCGAGTTTACGACAACTGATTATTTTTAGTTTCACTGAATCGAGTTTACGACAACTGATTATTTTCTAGTTTCACTGAATCGAGTTTACGACAACTGATTATTTTCTAGTTTCACTGAATCGAGTTTACGACAACTGATTATTTTCTAGTTTCACTGAATCGAGTTTACGACAACTGATTATTTTCTAGTTTCACTGAATCGAGTTTACGACAACTGATTATTTTCTAGTTTCACTGAATCGAGTTTACGACAACTGATTATTTTCTAGTTTCACTGAATCGAGTTTACGACAACTGATTATTTTCTAGTTTCACTGAATCGAGTTTACGACAACTGATTATTTTCTAGTTTCACTGAATCGAGTTTACGACAACTGATTATTTTCTAGTTTCACTGAATCGAGTTTACGACAACTGATTATTTTCTAGTTTCACTGAATCGAGTTTACGACAACTGATTATTTTCTAGTTTCACTGAATCGAGTTTACGACAACTGATTATTTTCTAGTTTCACTGAATCGAGTTTACGACAACTGATTATTTTCTAGTTTCACTGAATCGAGTTTACAAAGTTTTATGTTATACATTGTAAATATTGTGGTTTTTGTCTTTTAAGTTGTGTTGAAATAAGATAAAATATCAATCTTTGGCTTGAAACCACATCTCTTGCCTCATATACCGATTATAAAATGTCAGCCTTCGAATTCCACTTCAATTTTATTTATAAGGGGGTGTCTCGAAGATAAATAAAACATCATCTGAAATGATGAAATAGCATGTGCACTAAAGCAAAAAAGGTAAAAAAAAAAAAAAACTTTATTTTTACCAACTACATAGTAAACACAAATATCAAATTTCATTTCTTAATAGAAAGACTCTATAAATTCACAATATAAACGTCTTCATCTAATCCGTCCTTTATTCTTGTGAGAACCTCAAAGGATTTCAAAACTGCTCAGGATTTTTCGAGAGACTATATCTTCTTGGCTTTAATAAAAATCGTTAGCAATTGTGCTTTTGAGGTTGAAATATTGAAACGGCTTTCGTGCGAGTGGCTCACTTATTGTCCAACCACAATGCATCATGGTCTCGTGGTGTGATAACCCTGAATAGGGCTCGGCTCTCAGGGATTCTGTTGTTCTGTCTTTTCCCATTGTTTTCCTTTTTTCTTCACCCTCCTCAAATATGCAGACAGAAAAAAACAACTCGCATTGCACGCAGGTCGAGACGCATAACTTTCTCGGCAGTGTTCAAATTGTAACCTGACAAGAAAGGCCATGATGTTTCAAAAGATTTGGAATCTGAAATTAGTCAAAATGCAATGAAAGCTTTTCGTTTTTGCCTCCAATAGAAATAAACTTTCATAATATTCCTTATCCAGAGTTCAATGAATTATTTTTTAGACGCTGTTTTTCATTGCCATATCTTTTTTTTTTCTTTTTTTTTTTTTTTTTTTTACTTATGTTTTTCTTCGTTCATTCATTTATTTATTTTTTATAGTTCTCCTTTTTATTTTTTATTTTCTTGATAGTTAAAAAAAAATATTCCCGTGTTTTTTATTCAGAGTTCGTTGTTAAATATGGCACAAGAGTAGGAAGTTGTGTTATACCACTTAGAATTGGAGAAGCTCTGCTTGTCTGGAATAGTAACATTCGATATTTTTTTTAAATAATTTCACCCCAAGTAAGACGATAATGCAACTAAGACGCAATAGGTTACTGGGAGTGAAAGAGACCGAGAAGACTTTAGGGAGGTGATTGAACAGAGTTCAGAAAACAGAAGTTGGCAATTAGCGTTACATTTAAATTTTTGAAGATTGTAATTGGCAGGGAAGCAAAAAATCTGAAGAGTTCCACAAGCGAAAAGTGCAAGAAAACAAACTATTAAAATAGAATTTACGGTTGCATCTAGCTAACTGTGTATATTTCTGAGATGAGGTATTATGTACATTATTTACATTATTCGGACTATTGTCCTCATCTTTGTCGCCATATTTATTACAACGTTTTGGCCGTTGTACGCTCCGGCCTTCTTCAGGTGATTGGAATGTTCGAACTGAACCCTTTATTTCTCTCACTGGGGTAGACTGTTCTACTTCCACGTGCCATGTCTAATGGATGTCAGTTATCTCCTGTTAATTTCCCTCTGAATGTTCTCCATTGTCTTAGCCGGGTATTGAACTTGCACTCTTTGGTCCTGACACTGGATCTAACTAACGCCTTTATCCACTGTCATGTGTCCTTGAGGACCCCAGTGAGCGAAATAAAGGGTTCAGTTCGACATTCCAAACCACCTGAAGATAGCCGGAGTGTACAACGGCCGAAACGTTCTAATAAATATGGCGACAAAGATTAGGACAATAGTCCGAATAATGTAAATAATGCATCTAGCTAATTCAATGATAAAACTGTGAGATCTAGTACGCTGAAATTCATGCAGTCGAGGCACCAATGTGTAAAATACATCAGAAAAATTGCCGTGAAAATATTTCTAGAAAAGACAGAGGGAAGCCAAATCACAGTGGTGGGAAAGTGATTGTAGTCGAAATGCCAGGTCAGTACTAACCCTTCATTAGATTTTGTATAGAATGTCGAGATATTTCGCACTTGACTTTGGCTCGATTATCGACTTCTAGTATCAGAGAAAAGCCACTCATTCTCTCAGCCAGGAAACATTTTGTTATCTTTGTCTTCGCATTGCACAATCCAACTAAAAGGAAATGGAGCATCAGGCCAATATTCCCAGCCTGTTAAACTAAAAAAAAATCAGCTCTCAAAATCCTGGAATTTATCAGAGCTCGAACACCAACTTTTCTGACTGGTGGGAATTGGCAAATATCGTCGGAAGATCGAAACATTGTAAATCTGTTTACTATTTCATTTATATTCAGTTACCGCTTCTACCATTTCTCTCTTTCTTTTCAAGCCTTTTCATTTCAATTTTATCTCTGTTGTATTACACACCCCGTTTAGCTTTTCCATTTCTTTAATTTTACGTCTTATTGCATTCGTTCTCTTTCGCTTTTCACTTTCTTCGTTTCTTTCTTTTTATTTTCTTTTTTCCTTCCGTTTATTTATTTATTTTTTTTTTGACTTAATGTTCTTTCTGATTGTATGCGATATTTCTACCCTAACATGGCGGTT